AAATATTATTACAATTCAAAATAACTGTTCTGTATTTTAATATATATTTTTAAAATGTAATTTATTCCTGTAATGGCAAAAGCTTAATGTTAAGCAGCCATTACTCAAGTCTTCAGTGATACTATATTCTAATATGCTGATCTGGTGATTGATAGTACATTTCTTCTCATTCTCAGTGTTGAAAACAGTTGCGCTGTTTGTTTGTTTTTTAGAAACCGTGATACTTTTTTTTCAGAATACTTTGATGAATAGAACAGTTCTAAAGAATAGTTTTTTTTAAAAAATATATAAATATCTTGCAACAATGTTTTAATTGTAACTTCTGATCAATTTAATGCATCATTGCTGAATAATTTTTTTTATTTCTTTCAATAACTAAAACAAACAAACAAATAAATAAATAAATCTTAGCCCAATTTTGCATGGTAGTGCAACTTTGGTACCTGGGAGGTACAGTATATGCTTTCCATCCAAAATTCTTATAATAAAAATAAATTATACTTTTGTTCTGTATGACCTTCCACCTCATACCTCGTAGCATTTTCCAGTGCGCGAGAGAACACATTGTATCCTGAGGGTGTGGGGGAGTGTTGCAAAGAGTAGAACCAGGTCGCGGCCTCCTTCACGAAAGCATTAGCATCATCTCGACCCAGAGAGTTAGACAGGGCTGCGTAAAATGCTGTCTTGCTGTCAGCCCTTCCCTGAAGCTGCTCGAAATTCTTCTCAAATAAAAGAAACACAAAAGCGCCAATAAGAAATTGTAACTAGTTTTTATCTAACCACACCCAGCTTTAATTCTCACACTATCTTTTAGGTGCTTTCCTCTCGCTCATTTCTCAGTCTGATATATTTGTGTCCTGACCTTGATGTTCTTGGCTCTGCTGATGAGACCGTCTTCAAATGATGACCCTAGAAGTAATTCAACTTTGTGGAAGCGTCCAGACAGAAGGGCCACAGAAGGCTTTTCCCGAACTACAGTTCCATCAACCACTGGTGACCAGGCCTGCAGGGGACCACTCACTGTTGCATGTGATTATAAAGCCGTTTCACTTCAGCACTTCCTATTTTTGCTTATTTGTGAAATGGAAAGTGTGGTGAGACACACAGCTTCCCCGTTTACCCAGGCCATGCCCTTAAACTCTTGTCAGACTCTTGCACAACAGAACCATAGGAGAATCTATAAGAAAGGGAGCTTGTCTCGGTTTGGACAGACATCTAATGGCTGATTGGATGTGGTAAATTTGTAGGAATAGCTGTGGGAGACTGACAATGGGAGGCACTCTGGCAAGCCAAAGAACCCTGGAGGATTTCGAACAAGCTCGTACTAATGAAGACCTTCCACCAAGAGGTACGAAAATGCTGAGCACTGTCCAAGTGACTGGTTTCAAGTGACGTTCTGAGTTATTGTAGGCTGATGCCACATCGTTTCAATCGTTTACAGATGTTGTGTGTGAAGAGACTCAAACTGTATTAATACATAAGTATATATCGGTTCTCCGTGTAGACAGAACGTGCAGTGTTAGCTGTGGTTTGTCCCTGAAATGAAATAATATTCAATAGACTAAGCTGAACTTAAAAACAAGTGAAATTTGTGTACGACCTAAAAAAAAAATATGAAGTCTCTAAAATTGGACACAAGCGCACAACATTAGCTGGAGTCACACTCATGACTGAATAGTACCAAACAAGGACGTTTGTTTTTCTGTTTAGTAATCATTCTTGAATTAAATGATCAAGTTAAAAAGTTAGCTCAAAGGCTAAAGGAACATATTCTAAATACTTCCTGGCACTGCAACATAAATACAAATGACTTCCTAACACAAATGCGCAAAAATACAGGTTTGTTTCATTAGCAAGAATCAAAGAGCTAAGTTATCTTTGACATAAAAAAACAACTAACATACATAAACATTATGAACATATATATTTATTTACCAATGCAAATGCAATATTTTCTGTTTTACAGTGGATGAGAATGACACAGCAGTAGTGTTGGATAACTACCCTCCTCCTGGTATCTGCAAGCCTATATTTCGAATGGGAGATTGGCTGAAAATAGTGTCCGAGTAAGTATTATCATCACATATTTCAGTTTTTTTTTTTTTGCCTGTATGCTAACAGTAAAATATGTCTCTCAACATGCCTCACAAGATTATTACTCAAGATATGCTACAACAAATACGTTTTTTCTTTGTTTGATTGTTTATTTATTTATTTAGAGTCTTTCATGCTCACCAGTTTATGTGCTCAAAAACACTGTAAAAAACAGCAATACTGTGAAATATTATTACAATTTAAAATACCTTTATATTTATTTTAATATATTTAAAAATGTCATTTATTCCTGTGATTGCAAAGCTGAATTTTCAGCAGTCATTACTTCAGTTTTCAGTGCCATTCTAGAAACCATTCTAATATGCTGATTTGGTGCTCAAGAAACATGCTGCTTAAATGGGTCATATGATGTTGCTAAAAATAACATTATTTTGTGTATTTGGTGTAATGAAATGTGTTTATGCTGTTTAAGGTTAAAAAAACACATTATTTTCCACATACTGTACATTATTGTTTCTCCTCTATGCCCCGCCTTTCTGGAACGCGTCGATTTTTACAAAGCTCATCGGTCTGAAAAGCAAGGTGTGCTGTAATTGGCCAACTATCCAGTGCTATCCAGCTATCCAATGATTGGCCGAATACCTCAAGCGTGTGACGGAAATGTTACGCCCCTTACCATACTGTGATGATGCCCTGTCAGGCCAGAGCGAAGATTCAAAAACATGAAAACCCATTATAAATGAGGCATTCGTTGCATCCAGTGGGGACATAATTATGGATTATAATGACTTATACTGTCTTTTTACGCGTTGCGTTGCATTGCGCCACGTAAACATAAAACCATGTCTGCATTTGTGAACGGAGAAAATACAAACAACAAGCCCTACTCTACACTGCCCAAAAAACTCGCTTTAAATATAAAAAATATAAAATATAAAAACTCTTTAAATATAAAAAAACTTACTTACAGTCTTTGAGTCAGAGCATTGTGGTCTACTCTCCCAGGTTCAGGAAACAGTCCTCCATAAAATGTGCTGCACACATCTGAATATTTGGGTTGAAGTGTTCTGGAACAGTGTTGTAAATACAACTTAACCACTGATCTCTAGTCGTGTCCATTTTTGGAAGGCCAAACAAAGTAGTTTCGCTTTCACAACGAAACACAGCGTCACACACGGTGGCCTAGAGTGAGCAGAGGCCGGGGGCTAGAGTGAGGAACGGCTAGAGGGCTAGAGTGAGCAGAGGCGGCGGACTTGAGAACGGCACGGCCGGCGGATTCGACGAAGGAGCGTCCGGAGGGCATGCGGCAACCACATGTGACGACCCCGGGCAGGACTCCGCTTCGTCCACAGTGAAAGCCGATCCGGCGATCCACAGCGCAAAGTTGTTGTATTGTACGTTACGCCTTCTTTCTTTGCGTGAACATTTTGGCGCCATTATGCAAATCTTCCCACATAGTGATGCAGATATGTGGGGGTGTGTTGGAACGAGCCGTTTAGGTAGGTGTGGCTGACTCTTAACTTTTATAAAGAATATCTCTTTGGATTTGAGACTTTAGTCTTTGCAACTTTACAGATCTTCTTTATGCACCAAGAGCTTGAAACACTCCAAAGAGAAAGGAAAAATTGAAATCGCACCATATGACCCCTTTAAAACTTATGTGGAAACAGTCATAATTTTCATGATTCTTTGCTAAATACTAATATATATATACTGTATATAGAGAGAGATTGTATGTTTGAAGTGTAGATATAATGTTTGTTATGTAAGTGTTAGTACAGTATGTTATTAAACTATATTTACCATCAATAACACTGACAGTTGCTGGGCGCAATATGCAAATGCACAACCGAACACAAAACCTTGAAGCCAGTGTTAACTTTAACACTACCTTCTGCCGTTCAACACATACAGAAAACTGCTTTTCACTAAATAGAAATAGGTTTTCATGTCACTGTCACTTATTAAACTATATTTACCATCAATAACACTGACAGTTGCTGGGCGCAATATGCAAATGCACAACCGAACACAAAACCTTGAAGCCAGTGTTAACTTTAACACTACCTTCTGCCGTTCAACACATACAGAAAACTGCTTTTCACTAAATAGAAATAGGTTGTTTTTTGATCATTATAAACTTTAAAATTACAAACGAGAAGCATAACTGTCCACATGCATTAAGTCTCACTTTCTTTCAGGGAAGGGTACTGGTGGAAGGTCTACTCGGTCAACACTAAGGAAGTGAACCATATACCACACTGTCATGCCACAAAAGTCTACCATGGGTAGGTTCTGAATCGCCAACTAAACGAGTTGCTTGTCATTTAACTTCCACTAGTTGTTTAATGCTCTCTAAGTGCTAATGGAAACATTCTTGTCGGTCTCAGTTGGCTGTTTGAAACCGTGACCAGACCAAAAGCTGAGGAACTGCTTCAACTCCCAGGAAACCGAGTGGGGTCATTTCTGATCAGAGAGAGCACAAAAGGTCAGAATACATATTTAAAATGAACATTATACTCTAGTCTAGTGCCAAACAGCCAGAGCATAAGGTCTGGTCCATATTTCAGCGTATTCTGGATGACAATCAACCACTAAAAACTGTCTGACAGACAGAGTTTTATAAATAGACCAATCTAAAGGATCTTCTAAATAATATTTAGGCTTATCCATTAATATGGCTGATGTTACAATCACATCGCTTGTATTTTTGTAGGTATGTACACCTTATCTGTGCGCCACAGAAATATTAAGCATTATCGAATAGTTCGAATGCCAAACAACTGGTACTTCATCGCTCCACGCCTCACATTTCAATGTCTGGAAGATCTGGTCAACCACTACTCTGGTAAATCAAAAAACTACTACTACTACCACTAAATAAAAAAACACTACTCTGGTAAACCAAAAAACAACCAGTTTTAGTGTAAATGATGAATCTGTTTGATGCAGATTTTTCCCTCTTGCTCTGGTTCAGATATAGCAGATGGACTGTGCTGTGTTCTAACTGGCCCATGCTTGACCGCCTGTGAAACACCCCTGAGTAAGATCACAAAAACACCTGATGGGAGAAAATTATCCTTTGACTGGAGAGCAGTGAACAGGTAATAAGATCAATAAAACTACCGCTCAAAAGTATGGGGTCAGTAATATTTTCATGTTTTTGAAAGAAGTCATCTATGCTCACCAAGGCTGCATTTATGGACCAAAAACCCAGTAGAAACTGTAATATCGTGAAAATGATTGAAATTTACTGTTTTCTATTTTTACTTTAAAATTAATTTATTATTGTCATGGCAAAGCTGAATTTTTAGCATCCTTTACTCCATTCTTACGTGTCACATGATCCTTCAGAAATCATTCTAATACGCTGATTTAGTGCTAAAAAAACTCTTATTATTGTCAAAGTTGGAAAACAGTTGTGCTAATTAATATTTTTTATGAATAAAAAGTTCAATCGAACAGTTTTTTTTTTGTAGCCAATGTACATCTTTACTGTCACATTTGATCAATTTAATGAATCCTTACTGAATAAAAGTATTAATTTCCTTGGGGGAAAAAACTTATTGACCACAAACCTTTGAATCGTAGTGTACATTTTACAATTGTCCTTTTTTGTTTCTCCACTAAAACTGAAATTAATTTATTTGATAAGTGTTTGAACTATCATATGAACATGGAAGCATTTTAAAAACTGTAAGTCTTTTCAGACAACATCTATAATACTAATGCACTTTTCCTCACTCAGCTCGGAGCTCGTCCACCAGAGCACAAGCCCTTCAGGGGTCAGCTATGGGGTTCAGAACAGTGTCTCTTCCTACCTGTCTTTGCTGGGACAGCAAGAGAAGCCAGAGAAAAATAAATTTAGCATGAAGAAGAGGTGGAGGTCTGTCTACATGACACCAAACCACCAGCTTGACAGTTTGGCTACTGTGGAAGACAACTATGAGGAGGTGCTTTGATAGATCACAGCTGATTCATTCCAAGAGCTCAAAAGCTGATAGAGGGATATATAAAGGCATTGTGTGTTGACTGGAAAGAGACAGACTTTTTGTCAGAGAATCATCTGAACATTTAAAACAGTTCCTCAAGCATGTGTTTATTTAAATGTAGGCTTACGAAGCTTTGAGTCTGAATGTTTTAAGATGCTTGTGCAACCATGTGTCATTATTTTTGGATTGGAGAATGTTGCTTTTACTGTAAATGTGACCTCAGACATTAGTGTTGTTACATAAAACAGTTGTGTCATGTAACCGGCAGTGGGACTTCAGAGTTCTGTTCTTACCATTAGCAAAGCTCGGTGGAAAAGTGATGAAGCCGACGGTGAGGTAAGATGAAGACTCGCAATGTCAGCACCGTTTCTCTCTGCCCCTACTGTGACTTTAGTGGAGTCTCCTCCAAAATGAGCAATGTTCTTCTGAACCCATCCCAGAGCAGCTGCCTGGTCCTGCAACCCATAATTCCCCGGCAGAGCACTGGAATCTAGACAGAGTCAACAGATTTCAATTCATCAGGCATATCCAAATGTATTTTCCACACATAGATTAAAACCATGACGCAAGAAGATTTGCAATAAATGACTGAAAAAAGCAACTTTTCATTATAACCCGCATGTGAAAGTCTATCCACTATAAAGACAATAATAATAATAAAATATTCACAGCTCCACAGGGGTTTGGCTGGGAAATACCATTGTCACAAACAGTTCAAGATATGTAAGGAAGCCAATTATGCTTCTGCACAGCTTTCACTGTGTGTTGTTTTTGGCTGGAAAATGAAAGTTCATCCTGGTAGACCACTCAAAGGCACCAGTTAGGCCTCCTTTTCAAACTTACTCAGCCAAGGGTGGCAAAGGGGAAAAGAATCTGAATATTTTCACAACCACTGTGCGGAATGGAACTTCTCACATGAACATTACATAACTATATTCCATAACCATATCTATTCCATTTTTTTTGTTGGAATTCCATTTTATGGAATAAATTATCCAATTTCTTGCAATACGTCATTTCATTCTAACCCAACAGAGCTTCCAGGACATGGTTTAATTCTAGTGTAGATATATAATAATAATAATAAAAACTTCTTTATAACATTGAGATTCATTCCTTAAAATATTTTCAGAACTTTTCACCATGAAGTGTTCAGGAAGGCATTCGCGTTTTTGTTGCATGAATACAAACACATCAACAGTAAGAGCAAATCAAACTAAAGATGACTGTATTCAGGGCTCATAATGGTGAGGACTGTGTTATTTACTAGATTCTATACTAAATGTTACTCTACACCAAGGTTTTTCAGTCTTTACAGACCCAGTTTTAAAAGTGTTTATCATACAATGGATGTATTCTTTCACTCAAAAGTTTGGGGAAAGTGAGATGTTTTGGTCACACTTTAGTTTGGGAACCAATTCTCACTATTAACTACAATTCCTAATTTGCTGCTTATTAATATTTAGTAAGATAGTTGTTAAGTTTAGGTATGGAGTAGGATTAAGAGATCGAAAATATGGTCATGCAGAATAAGGCATTAATACCTGCTGTGTAAGTACTAATAAACAGCCAATATGCTAATAATATGCAACTAGTTAATAGTGAGAAATGGTCCCGAAACCAAAAAGTGACAAAGATTTATTTTTTTTTTTTTAATAAATGCATTCTTTTATTCAGCAAGGATGCATTAAATTCACCAAAGAATCCAGAAAAAAATGTCACAGTTTCCACAAAAACATTAAGCAGCTCAACTGCTTTCAGCTTTGATAATAAGAATTGTTCCTTTAGCACCAAATCAGCATAACAGAAGGATTTCTGAAGAATCGTGTGACACTGAAGACTGGAGTAATGGCTACAGAAAGTTTAGCTTTGCCGTTACATTTAAAATATATTTAAAATAGAAAACATTTGTGAGGCTGGCTAGAGTCATGGAATATTATCAAGTTGCATATATGAACACTTTCATGTATATGTCATATGTGTGTGTTTTTGGGTACCTGCACTGAGGAAACCGAAAGCGGCGACCCTGAAACTGGCTGTCACTACAATTATGTTGCCAACAGCAGTGAGGTAAGACCCATCTAAGAGACCCGATCCAGAGTTGTGGAAGAACACCAGAACCGGAGCATTCTTTCCCTGTGACAAAACAGAAAAATTGTACTATGAATACCAATAACAGCATTCACACCATAGTCAGTGGTTTATGAAAGCAGTATTAACAGACATAAAAGCCCATGAGAATGAGAAATTAGAAAAAAGAACATAATAAAGAAAGTTGTAACATTAAATTAAATGAGTGTATTATATACTATTGTTCAGAAGTCTGGGGCCAGGAAAACTTCTTTTGATCTTACTGACTGCAAACTTCTGAACAGTAGCGTATGTATACGTATATATGTATTTATGCATGTTTGAGCTCATGTGGGTCTTACCACACTACTAGCAACAAATACATTGAGGTACAGACAGTCTTCACTGGAGGTGGAGTCAGTGGGATCGCCAGGTTGAAGACAGCTGGATCTAAAACAGTTTTGATAAAACAAATCAGATCACAATCCAGAAAAGTGACTTTATTAATTCTGCAGTAAGGCAACCAGTTAATTTGAGGGTATAAACGTATGTTAATTCTCAATCTGCAAACAACGTTGCCCACCGAGAAAACGTGGCATTCCAGGTACCGGTCCAGTCAGCTGGCTGTGGAGGGCTGAAACGGAGCTCTCCGACTGGTGGACGAGCATAAGGGACACCCAGGAAATAGGTTACACGCTTGCTATCTGAGCCAGTTATGGGTTTCACCTCACTCTCTCCGAGAAGTGTCCCGTGATCAGGAATGGAAACAGAAGTCAACTCTGGCTGTAAACCTATAAAGAAATGTTTAAACATGTGTTGTTGGGGTGAAAGAGATCAGAAACACCCTGAACTGGTCGACACTCTGAATAAACTGAAGATTGTTTTGTTTTGTGGTGCCACCTGTCCTGACGTAAACAGACTGAGCAGGCTCTTTGGTGACTAAGAAGCAGCGCTGGCCGCTGGTTGTAGGAAGGCAGGTGTGTGTGTCTGGATACATCACACATCTCATGGCTGACTCTCTGCTATCGATAGACACAGCTGAACAGGACTCACTTTCCTCACAAGCTACAGAAGACAAGAAAGTTATGAGAAGACAAGGATAACCACATATTATCTGTATTGTAAATTGCTATTGTGATTATTACTAATTCAGTTAAAATATATTAAAATGTAATAAAAATAAATTATTAAATGTATTCAGCCTTGCCATCACGGGAATAAATCACATTTTAAAATGCATTCAAATAGAACCGATACTTTAAATTGTGATAATATCCCAAAATATGACTCTTTTTACTGTATTTTTGATCAAACAAATGCAGCCTTGGTGAGCATAAGTAATATAATATTTATTCAAATCAAAAGTAAACTACATGTTGCTTGCTACATCCCATTGCTATGTGTTCAGCATGTAACATATGGCTCTATCACATCAGCTTCCTGTAAAAGTTCTGAGAAAAAAAGGTGAGAAACGTTACCAGATAGACACCAGACTCTGACTTTATCCAGATCCTGTGCTATATCTCTGCTTATGTGGACCATGTCAAAAGCTGAAATAGATGAATCCACCTTGACAGAGGTGGCATCCAACTGCTTCCAGTTCTTCAAATCAGCTGCTTGCAAATAAGCAATGGGATCAAGAATGACGTGTGAAAATTACATAAATGATTGAATTCAATTATTATACAGTAATAAAAAAAATAATACATCGTTAGAAAACAGTAAGGTAATATTCATTTAAGAGACTCTTACCGTTTTTTGAGGGAGAGCGGAGACTAAATGGTGGACACACACTGGGATTCTTTATCCACTGGTTTACTACAGAGACATACAAAGCTGATGTTAAAATCTTTCCGTGAAGTCATTTACTTCAATTCACATAATGGGAATTCTCAATTTGTTGAAATACAGAGTTCGAAAAGGCACATGGATTTCAGATATACCTGGCTTTTCATACCAGCCGAAGGGATAGACTTCAGTCTGCACTTTGGATGGAGAGCAGTCCTGAATTCTCCAGTTAGTACTGTCATTCTCACCACATGTCTGGATACCCAGACTATTCAGAGTTAGACACAACACATCTGATCCTGTACAAAAGCAGAGAGACCAACTGTGAGTGGTTTCATTCCACATATTAGACATCACATATGTTTTAAGTGAATGAGCAAGATGAGCTGCGCATTTTGAGACTCGTTTGAGTAAAAAGGTTCTTTCATACTAGGTACACCGGAATCTTGGATATATCCTATGCCACGGCAGCATGGATCTTCATCACATCGCCTCTCACACTCAAAAAACCTGCTCGAAAAAGTAAAACAGCATTATTCATGAAGGAAACAAATAAACTGAGATGGAAACAAGTTTGTTGGTTTTCCCCTCACCCTTCTGTGATAGATTTACTGGACAGACTGACTCGACTGCGTACAGAGTAGGACACCATCTTCTTAAAAGGAACACGACTGTAGAAACTCTTCACACTTCCTAACAGAGAAACTGCACAAGAAAAAGAAAGTGATGTCCATATTATGCATAACAAAAAATATGCTGTAAAATCTAACTTGATCAAAAGCACTTTGGCGTAATAGGTTGGGAAAAAGAGTGTTTTTTGACTTAATGTTCCAAACAGTGGAACATTTATACAAATAGAAACTTCCAAGTGGTGCTTTTGGGCAAAAAACGAACTGTTTGCTAATTATGACAGCTTCTTTGATTCCCTCAGTACAAGCTAAGATAAAACGCATTGAGAAACCCCTTACGGCAGATTTCCACTAAGGTAGCATTATTTTCCACCCTTAAACATCTACAGCAGATGGACCACATGTTAAGAGTTTATGATCACACCTTTTTGTTGTGGATTACTTTATAATCTATAAAACATTCAAGCTCCTGTGATCCCCTATGACTGAAAATCACTGCATTTGTGTTCCAGGAACCCACAATATGACTATCAAATCCAAACATTCCTGTTTCGGCATTTCAGATTGTTCAAAAGTATGTTGTCAGTAAGACTTTTATCTTTTTGAAATAATAATAATAATAAATAAACTAATTAACTAACTTTTTCCAACAAGGATGGATTAAATTGATCAAAAATGACAGTAAAAGACATTTTCAAATAATTCTAAAAAAAAAAAAAAAAGGAAAAAAAAAGTATAATAGTATACACAAAAGTATTAACCAGCTGAAAATTT